TGTAGGCGACAAAATCAGCTCCATCTGCCTTCCCGATCAACGCCTCAAACTTCCAGAAGGTCACAAATGCTACGCTGCGGGTTGGGGTGCTACGGCACCTGATTCCCGTCCACTTGCAATACCCTCGGCACTCATGCAATTTTTTACATCAATCCTACCACCCACGAAGCAATGTGGTCTTGGACAGTCCTCAAGTAATCGTCGCTGCAAAAGCGCCAAACAACCACTAAAGTTACTTGAAGTCGAGCTACCATTGGTGTCGCTCCAACAATGCCGACGCAGCTTCCCAAATCTAAGAGATTGGGTTCATGTATGTGCGGGAGCAAGAGGAAAGGTATTTATTATTTATTTATTTATTTCAAATGGCAGGCGTTTTGATAGCTATCATTAGCCATTTAGCTGACTTCGGACTTCACAGAGGGAAGGTTCATCAAAGTAGCAGAAATTCGAGGGGTGGGGAACAGAAGAGCGATTCACAGATGTAAAAGAGGCAGACAGACACAAAGGTAGAGAAGAAAGTAAGGTGAGTACCGTAAAAGGGTCGAATACGACAACCAGGGGGGTCGTGGTAGTTTGAAGTCGGAAGTCAACTACCGGTTAAAAGACTTTTTTTGCCGTATGAGTATACGTTGCCCAGGGTGCACCACGTGGAGGTAAGTCTATCGCACACCCCGCAAGAGGAAAGGTAAAATGTTTTAAATTAATAGAAAATAAAATATTTGACTCTAAGGAAGTTCAAATATTTCAATTCGAATTCAAAAAAAGAAACTAAACCTGCACAAAGATTATGCCTCTATGTCACCTTAAATAATGGATATATTTGGACAAAAGTAAATAGCATATTTATTTATTTATTACAAACGGCAGGCGTTTTGATAGTTATCATTAGCCCTGTAGCTGACTTCGGGCTTCTCAGAGGGGAGGAACATCAAGGCCATAAAAAGTGGAGAGGGGGGAGCAGAAGAGTGAATTCCAGGTGTAAGAGTGGCAAACAGACTCAAAAGCAGAGAAAAGGTAAGATGAGTACTTTGGAAGAGGTCGAATATGGTATAGAGTGGGAAGATGGTAGTTTGAGATCAGAAGTCATCTATCGAGTAATAGACTTTTTTGCCGTATGGGTATACGTTGCTCAGGGTGCACCACGTGGAGGTAAGTCTACCTCACACTCTTGTTCGTATAACATGAAGGTCAGTATATGATGAGGTTGAAAATCTGGTGGATGTATAAGAACCCCATAAAAGATTGTATCGAACTATTTTTCATCTTTCTACTTGTACGATTAAAGATAGTCAACGGTAAAAGAGCTGTGAACTAAATCTATGCATTAGTCTAGCAATTTGCGCATGAAAACTAGTCACAATTTCCCCGGACTGGTTCCACTTCTTCTTCCATTTTCAAATATCTGTATGCGAGTGTTCGCCGCTTCTAGCAACTTAACAGAAACAAGTCTGCTTCCCTCACATAGTACAATTATAAAATTACGAAAATTCTTAAAGCGGCGATGTTAAGAACTAGACTTTGTTTACATAAACATTAGTCAATACCCCTTGGTTTTATTTCTTTCTAGGATACTTGCCGTGGTGATAGTGGTGGTGGCCTTTTCTGCCAGAATCCAAAGGATGGTAGATGGCACATCTACGGCATCACAAGCTTCGGTTCGGTCCATGGTTGTGGCAAACACTACGGTGTCTATACTTGCACACGAGGAATCGCTGAGTGGATTCATGAAAATGTTGTTTAGCTGTGGCTCACTTGAATGGACACTGATGGCGCGTACATTAACTCACAATCATGCTTATTATTTGTCGGGAAATCAAAAACATTCACCACTTTACACAACCTCATTAAAGTTCCATTTTCCAAAGATGTTGTGTTTGCGTTCATTTAATGCCTTGGTTGCAATCGATAAGATAAGATAAGATAAGCTGGAGGATATCAGAGGGACAGTGGATTCTGAGAGGAGCAATTATTATTGAGCATCCAATATATGAAGTAAAATAGAATCAATACTATCAAAGGTAGACACAAGAATAATTAAAAGCAAAATAATGCGAACGGAGGGAGTGTAGGTGGGCGGAATGGGGGGGGGGGTTTGGGAGTTAGTTTACTAAAATGATTAATTTAGGGTCCGAACTTTCTACCACATGGGTGTGTGCAAGTAAGTGTTCCCTTATTGAATTGTATGGCCTACAACATTCAACGCAAGGTGATTGCCACCTTGGGGTATATTATTATTATTATATCAAATGGCAGGCGTTTTGATTGTTATCATTAGCCCTTTAGCTGACTTCAGTCTTCACAGAGGGGAAGGAACATCAAAATGTAAAAAATTCAAGAGGGGGGGGGGAACAGAAGAGTGTATCAAAGACGAAGGTAGATAAGGTGGAAAAAAGGTGGGATGAGTACTGTGGAAGTAGTCGAATATGACATACAGTGGGGTCATGGTAGTTTGAAGTCATCTGCCAGGTAAAAGACTTTTTTGCCGTATGAGTATACCTTGCCCAGGGTGCACCACGTGGAGGTAAGTCTATCACACACCCCACCCTGCGGTATATAATACTCCCAATTTATTTATAACAAAGACAAGGTCTGAACATTGAATTAACGACTTAAGGTAAAATCGCCGGTCGATCTGTGTCAGTTCTGTTTATTCACGGCTAAGGCTTAAGTGCCGAACGAGAGACAACCTGGCGATGTTTATTGCACATCTTAGAATGTAGCAAAGAAGTTGTGTCCTTGAGCATTCTAAATTGGCGCTGTCAAAATACATATAAGATTGGGAGTCACTGTCATGGGGTTATGGGTGTATCGAAATGTGTAAAGTTACTTTCTTGTTTTTTTGTTGAGGGTGGTGGGGGGGGGG